TATTGATTTACGTGTCAATTTAGCTTTAACAGATACCTATTACAGTTGGACAGCCATTCATCAATAATTAAAACGTCATTATGACAGTACACGGCGAACAAGTCAGACTTTTTAACAAACACAAAGCGGATTTAAGGGTTGTTGCAGCCCTACCTTCCCGTAAAGTCACTTTGTGGGCTAAAGAAACTTCGGTTATACCTTTCCATCATTTAGGTCATATCATACTACATAGTGATCAAAAGAGTGGCAACATTTTTGTTGACTTGCAGCATAGACCGTGGCCTTCCAATTTCATGTCATTCCTCGTTGTATCCTGAATCTAGATGAAGACTCTGTTCTACCAATTTTCAATGGTTGGATGATGCCATGGTCGCCAGAAGTTTCAATTTCCATGAAAGCGCAAGATTTACCATATTCAGAGTGCTAAGCTACTTCTACTTCTATTACACGTAAATTGACATTTGAAGACGTCAATGTCAATGAAATTCTGAGTGCTGAATACACGGAACAATTACTGGATATTCTTAATCAATATCCCGAATGTTTTGCCATCAGCATTGAGCAACTGGGTGAAAGTACCACTACGAAAATGACCATAAAATTAGCCGACGATGTTCCTATAACATACAGACCCTATCGACTATCCTACGCAGAACAAGGAAAAGTACGTGACGTAGTACAAGAACTTTTAGATAATGACATTATCCGTGAATCTAATTCACCATACGCAAGTCCAATACTACTAATCAAGAAGAAAAATGGAGAAGTGAGGTTATATGTTGACTACCGCGCATTAAATCGGAAGACAGTTAAGGACCGATATCACCTACCTCGAATCGATGATCTTCTAGACCACCTTAAGGGTTGTTATTGGTTTACTAGTTTGGACCTGGCAGTAGGATACCATCAAATTGCAGTAGAAGAAGACTCTATTGCTAAGACAGCATTTATTACTCCTGACGGTCATTATGAGTATCTACGAATGCCCTTTGGATTAGTCAATGTCCCAGCAGTTTTCCAAAGGACAATTAACGAAATTCTAGGCTCATTTCGTTTCACTACTGATCTTGCTTACCTAGATGATATTCTCATACCATCGGCAAATGTCGAAGATGGTCTTAAGAGTTTAGAAACAGTGCTAGAACTGATTAAGAAGTCTGGCATGACACTAAGACTTCAAAAATGTTATTTTCTACAAAATAACATGTCATACTTGGGACACCAGATATCCGGAGATGGTATACAGCCTGGAAATGAAAATATAATGGCAGTATCAAACTTTCCTACTCCCACCAACGTTCACCAGGTCCGCCAGTTTCTGGGTCTCAGCAGCTATTTTCGCAAGTTTATCAGAAGTTTCGTAGCTATTGCAAAGCCACTTTCTAATCTGACGAAAAAGAATATCACTTTCAACTGGTCAGCTGATGAAGAACATGCATTCGTTGAGCTCAAAGCAAAACTAACGTCAAGACCATTGCTGGCGATATACGATAGCGAGGCAGTTACGGAACTTCATACAGATGCTAGTAAAATAGGAATTGGAGGCATCTTACTACAAGTGCAACCAAATGGAGAATTAAAGCCGATACAATATTTTAGCAGATCAACTACCAGAGAAGAACAAAACTACCACTCCTATGAGCTAGAAACGCTAGCCGTGGTTAATTCGCTGAAAAAGTTTAGAGTATATTTGTTAGGTATTCAATTTAAGGTTATTACCGATTGTAATGCGTTGCGTACTACCCTAACTAAACGTGATCTGATTCCAAGGATTGGTAGATGGTGGTTGTATACTCAAGAATTTGATTTTGAAGTCGAATATCGTGCTGGCTCAAAAATGAACTATGTCGATGCCCTAAGCAGGAATCCTGTTGTTACCAATGAAGAATATGATGAGCTACCAATGCTACATGTAAATATAAGTGAAGATGATTGGGTGCTCTCTGCATAACTTACTGACAACCGCTGTAAAACTTTACACAAAATCTTGTCTGGAGTACCCACTAGTAAAGAAGAACGAAATGTTCATAAGGAGTATGTTCTAAAAGATAATAGAATTTATAGAAAAACACCCAAAGGAAGACGTTGGCTGGTACCCAAGGCAGCAAGAAAGAATATTTTAACGTACTACCATGATGGTGCAGGCCATTTCGGGTTGGATAAGACCTTGGAGGCTATTCAAAAAAAGATATTGGTTTCCTGCAATGCGAAATTATACGAAGAACTATAGCTCGTGTTGTTTAGGTTGCCTATATAATAAGAAACCAGCTGGTAAGCCGACTGGTATTCTAAACCCAATAGAGAAAAGGGCAATACCAATGGATACAATCCATTTAGATTATCTGGGCCCCTTTACTAAAAGCAAAAGAGAGAACAGCTATATTATCGTGGCTGTGGATGGATTCACGAAGTTTACCTTTATGAAAGTAGTGCCCAATACAAGTACGAATCCTGTAATAAAATTCCTAAATGAAATTATAGAGCTTTATGGTGTTCCACGGCGCATAATTTTGGATAGAGGCACTGCATATACAAGCCAGACTTTCAAAGTTTTTGCGGTAGCCTCGGAATAAAAACACGTTTTATGTGCTACCCCTACTCCAAGGGTAAACGGCCAAGTAGAGCGGAAAAATCGCGTCATTCTTAATGCTCTGACTCCAACAGTCGAAATCGAAGAGCGTTGGGATGAAGTGGTTAGCAAGGTTCAGTGGGGAATAAACTCAACAGTTTGTTCTACTACCGGCAAGACGCCTTACGAGGTGTTTCTGGGTTAACGGCCTAGAGGCATAAATGACGCATTCCTTAGCGCTGAGGTATGCGAAGACGAATATGAGGACTTAGCTGTAGTTAGAGAGGAGGTTTCTGATAGGATTGCCGAACAGCAACTGGTTCAGAAACGGGCCTACGACTCCAGATATGTTCGTCCTCATGTATATGAAGTCGGGCAACACGTGCTCGTAAAGAGGGCGAAAAGCGCCAATGATGGTAAAAGTACCAAGCTCGAGCCGCGCTATAAGGGTCCCTTTATAATAACGAAAGTATTCGATAAAGATCGATATGTTGTAAAAGACATGACAGGAGCGAAACGTACGCGCCTGTCATACAGGGGTATATGTCCCTCTGATAAGATAAAGTTGTATAAAACGGGTGTAAGCTCGGAAACGTCCGAGGAAGAAGTCAACTTACACCAAGAAGCTTAGGCTTATTATGGTAACTAATTTATGTTTTTGTTTCTGTTACAGGTAAACTTCGCTGAGGCTTCTCGAGGGCGCGAAGTTGTCAGGTTTGGCCGACTGTAACAAAGAAATACTCACGACGGACCTGTAAATACAATGTAAAAATACGTTTTATTAGTTTGGCTCTTTTTAAGTACAAAATGTGAAATCATTCTTTGTTGGTGACGAATTTGTCGTTTCCCATAGAGAATGAATAATAAGGCAGTCTAAAATAAATCTTTGTTAGAAATAGATCTCGATTTTAATTTAAGTTTATACATGAATAAAACATTTTTATTATTGCTCTTTTCTCCTCAACTGAGTACATTTTTTAATCAACTTAATTCATAGATAAATAATATATTAGAAAACTTAATTTTTTTTTAAACAATAAATCACAAAATTTTGTGATTTATTGTTTAAAAATTTAGTTGATTTAAATATTGTCAAATATTAAAAACATCAATATGACAAAACGCAACACGTAATACACATTTTTTCACGGCGTCTGGCCTGACTTTTAGGGGTGACATGAAAAATGTATTTATTTTTAGCAAAATTTTGGAATAAGTTTAAATCGTAGAACAATTTTAACAGTTGTTTTCGACACATATTTGAGTACTCTAAAAATAGTTTCCTATGAATTTTGGTGTAAAATAATTAGGGAAGCAGGAATTCAACAATTTAGAATTTCCCATTGAGTTTCCTATGGCCCGTTTGCAGATTCACCACCCTGTATACATATATATAATCCTTTGGTAGGTAACTTTCGGGAAAGCGTCAAATCAAGGATCGGCTAGAGATGGTATAAGCCAGTTTGGTGTAGAACTTTATTTTAAATGAGAAATTTTCGGTGATAGGCTGTCACCTTCATCAGCACCTAAATGGAAAACCTATTTAGTACAAATGGTGGAAATCAACATTTATAAACCTACATTGAAAATGTTCAGTTCAAAATGCTTGCTGTGCAAAAGTTTTTAGCGTCAACAAGGTTTCAAGTGTAGTTCGTTAATGTCATGGACGTATAAACATACGTCCATGGTTAATGTACATTATAAGATTTAATCGGCTTGCTTAGATTGCATGTGCTTAGTGCGGTTTGGTGCAGTTAGGACTAGAACAATAGAACTTTAGAACTTATGTGAAGGAACGTTTGAACATTTGACTTTAATTTGTTTTTTTTTTCTCCTTTAATATTTGTTGCAGGTTCAGGAGCTATGAGCTTAAGCCCAGATGTACCTTAGGTACGGTTCTTGAACATTCAGTATAAATCATCGAGCAAAAAGAGAATAGAGGGAATGTAAAGGGAGTGGGGGCAAACATATTGTTAGACAGGAAGTGCGATCTTTAGAGGCCACATTAAACAAGGAAAGAGAGTCTCTCTCCTTGTTTGACATCAAATTTAGTTGGGTTATGTTATTGTTTGTCCCAAATGTCACATGAAATCTTATTTATATTGAAGTTTTTTAACAATTGTGTCGTATTTTAGACTATTATGGTTAATATTTAATTAAAACTTTCTTGTCTGAAAAATATTTTACAGCTATTGTTAACAAGTGTTGGAAAATTTTAATTTAGCGCCTTTGCATTTCCGGATATGCCCGCCATCAGAGGCCACTTTTTTGGTCTCCTTTTCATAAGGATTAGATTCCCTCTTTTGTCTTATTGCTCGATGGTATAAATACACAGATCCTGGCCGGATAGCCCTGGCAGCTAAGGCCAACCAAGCAAATGAATGAAAGAAGAAGAAGAATCTCATGATAGGCGAATCCACGAGGCGAATCTACGAATCCTAAATCTAAACTATCTAAAGTTAGTAAAATAAGAACAGAAGCAAAGCAATTTTTTTAATGTTAGGGGTTTACAAGAAATTAGAAGTATAAGAGGTAAATATGAAAATTCATTCTGTTAAAGTTCCTCGTTTGTATAAAGTAGCGGCTGAGGTAGCTAAAGAAGTGGGCGAAGGAATAGGAAGTATAAAAACACTTGTATATGAAAAGAAAAAAAAGCATCCTGTGAGTATTGAGGTTATGAACTTCACTTAATTTTATAAATTATAATATCGGACCTTTTTAGAATATCAAAGCTATATATGCAATTGTATCGACACTTTTTCAAAAATATGAGGAAATAGAAACTCTATTAAAGAGATCACAGCTTTTAATTAAAGAAACTAAGCTTAATCCATGGCTGGCAAAAGTTTTAATAGTGGAATTATTATGGGGTAAAACGTACCTTCCAGGACAGAGCAAGCCCGAAAATACAATTCGTGCATATGAACAAATATTTAAAGCACATTTAAGTGACTCTAAGGTTAAAGAAATTGAACACAAAGGTAATATATTTTGCTTTCTTTTTCAGAAGTATGGCTGATCAGAGTGACCTAAGATCAAATGAATCACTTTTGCCCCTACAAACAAAACAAGCAGCAACAGCGCTAGGGAAACTTATGTTTTTCAGTGTTTTAATGTTTACATTGCCTTTTTTTGTTTTTTTTGGAACTAAGTACATATTACAGGAGCATTTTGATGTGATAGGTTTTACTAATACTGTTTGGTCAGTTCTCTTCAGTGTTGTAACTGTAAACTTGATTATTGTAGCATATGCATATATTGCTTACTTAGAGCCAGATTATGATGAAAAAGGAAATGTTATAAAAGAAGAAAGTCAAGATAAAAAACAACAATAATTTATCTTATTTCATAGAAACCATACCTTTTGAAATAATGTGGCAAATATTATTAGCTAGTAATTATATCCTTGTGAAAAATGTTATCAAATTGTAATCAACTGTAGTTTTTTACAGAATTACAACAGTATTACAACAATTAATTTAAACAAATAAAAATGTGATACATTTTATATTAACAGGTAATAAATCCTATATGTTTATGTATATCAGATTAGATATTAATGTATTACCACTCCTAATAGTTAAACAAAAAATGTAACTTTTCTGTAAATTAAAAACATACTAAAATATTTAAATTGTGAGTATTTTTTACAAAGTGTTTTTTCTCTATGTGATAATCATAGTAACCAAATTAATGAAAATCAAAGTTAACAATTTATTTGCAAAATTTAAATTAAACATCAGTAAAATTATTTAGATATAAAAGTACTCTCAAAAACATAAATACATACAATAACAAATAAAAACTGTTAATACTAGGATGGCAGCTAAAACTAGTATGAGATGAACTCTCAAATTTTTTGAAAACTTTATATTTGACTTTTTCACAGGAACTTTTGACAATACCTGTTCTATAGTATCAATTTTTCTAATTTTGAGAGCCACTTTCATATGTGCCAAAACAAGCAAATATTAATAACCTTTAAATCTTCTATTACCAAAGATGCTAATACATACTATATATACAGGGTTGGGACAAGGTAGGAAACTAAGTAAATATCTTTAAAACGAAAAATTCTATTCATGAACCTTTGCATGCAAGTTTGTGACCATATTTTTTGTTACTATTTTTTAGGTTTCACTGGAAATACCCTCAACCTATTTAATTTAAATGCTGTGTATATTTTTTCTCTCTCTCTCTTTCTCTCTCTCCCTCTCTTTCTCTCTCTCTCTCTCTCTCTCTTTCTCTCTCTTTGTCCAATGGCACTAAAGACCAAATCGAGTATTGGCCTCCTCCAACCTTGGCAGTCCCGCACTGATCTCCAGGTTTTCATGTCTAGCAAATTTTGGGTGTCCACTGCCACTTCAACCTCCCACCTTTTCTGTGGCCTTCCATTTGGTCTTGTGCCCTGCATTTTACTATCTAAGGCTCTTTTTGGCAATCTTTCAGTCTCCATTCTCACAACATGACCATCCCTTGCAAGTCTCTGAAGTTTAAGAAGTTCTGAGATTGGTGCCTCTTTGAACAGTTGGTAAAGTTCATGGCTGTACCTGGATCTCCATACTCTGTTTTGTTAATAGGTTTAAATATCTTTCTTAGGACTTTTCTTTCAATGTCTTCCAGCCTTCTTTTGTGTCTTCTGTCATCACCAATGTCTCGCATCCACAACATACTATTTTGGAGCGTGACGCATGGGCAAGTGAAAAGTAAGCTTTCTTCTCTTTACTATTCTTCTTAGAATGTCTGGTTTTTCTGTTCCATCCATGTTTAATGTAACTCTCAGATATGTAAAACTTTCTACAATTTTAATATCATCTAATTCAACTGTGCATCTGTTTCCTATATCTCTTGCCTATCCCCTGCTCTTATTTGACAGAGTAATCTTGACTTCAAGAAATCCTCCAAAAACCATGTAGAATATCATACATAGACAATGAGGAATATCTGGGGGTCTACATTAGGTTTATAACATCACTCCAGATGAGTTTAATAATCATTTTTCTTAAATTACCTACAACAAAATAAAAGATTACTGAATTATATATGAATTTTTTGAAGAACATCACTGTAAATCCCTCAAAGAGCTTTTCTTTTTCTGAAGTATCATTCAATCAGACCCCAGAAATCATAGACAGCTTAAAAAACAAAAAGATTTATGATATATGAAAAGATATATATATATATATATATATATATATATATATATATATATATATATATATGTATATATATATATATATGTATATATATATATATATATATATTTATATATATATATATATATATATATATATATATATATATATATATATATATATATATATATATATACCACGCTAAGAATACAATTCTTTGGTATGTAACTTTCGGGAAAGCGTCAAATCAAGGATCGGCTAGAGATGGTATAAGCCAGTTTGGTGTAGAACTTTATTCTAAATGTGAAATTTTCGGTGATAGGCTGTCACCTTCATCAACACCTAAATGGAAAACCTATTTAGTACAAGTGGTGGAAATCAACATTTAAAAACCTACATTGAACTGAACATTTTCAATGTAGGTTTATAAATGTTGATTTCCACCACTTGTACTAAATAGGTTTTCCATTTAGGTGCTGATGAAGGTGACAGCCTATCACCGAAAATTTCACATTTAAAATAAAGTTAATTACTATTTAACTGGGAATAAGCCACAATTAAAGATAAAAATATGTTTATTGATGTTTCAATTTCCACTTCGGAAATCGTTCTCAAAATACAAACAGTAAATTAAACAAATTTTGTTTTTTGTTACATAGTGAAAAATTCTTCTAATAATTTAATTTTATCTGACTCATTTATATTGACAATTCAGACATACATTATGCATTTTAAAGTAGACGACTTTAAAATGATATTGCCAATATTGTTGAGTTGCGCTCCTGGGATGACTTTACTTATAAGATAGTTCATTCGATTACATGAAATCAACTTTAACTTGAGAATATCTGTCAGAAAAAAATCATAGCATGTAATTCGTCTTTAAAAAGACAAACACATGACATGATGACAGTAAAATTCTCCTGTTAGTGATTCCATAGTAAATTATGAGGGAAAAGCCAGGAAAAAAAACCTCATAATACTATCCCGACATTGTAAGTACTTATTTGTTCGTGAATTTAGTACCTTCAACAAACATCAAAATACTGATTTTATATGTTGTTATTTAAAAAAAAAACAAATGATGTATCCTCTATATGTTACTGACTTACTAAGATTGGTATTTTCTTATTAATAACTTCCTCTTTCAATATTGGTAACTAGATCCTACTACATTCTGCCGAGGAATTTGCGACACAATTGGCCTCATTTAGCATAATTAGAGCCGCTTCTTTGATTTTTCTTTTTTTACCATCCGTTTCTTTTAGGACTACATTTGAATTATTCCATTGAACCCTATGTTCACTTATTCTAACATTTAATGGCCTTGATGATTCACCTAAATAAAACTGATCGCATTCACAAGGTATTTTATAAATGCAATTCTTTGTCCTTTCTTGTTCATTGTTAGGTTTGGTTTTGGACAAAATAGATCTCAACGTGTTTGTTGTTTTGAATGTTGTTGAAATGTTGAATTTATTTCCTATCCTTTTAAGTTTTTCTGATAGTCCTTTTATGTACGGTATTGTTATTTTCCTCATATTATTCCTTGTGTATGCTGTAGGATCTCGTTCTAAGTTGTTCTGTTCTATTCGATCGATTGTTGAAAATTCCTTATTTATAAACGATAAAGGATAATCATTTTTTAATAAAACAGATGTTAACAAATGTTTCTCCTCCAAGAACGAATTTTCATTAGAACAAGTTCTTGGAGGAGAAACATTTGTTAACATCTGTTTTATTAAAAAATGATTATCATTTATCGTTTATAAATAAGGAATTTTCAACAATCGATCGAATAGAACAGAACAACTTAACGAGATCCTACAGCATACACAAGGAATAATATGAGGAAAATAACAATACCGTACATAAAAGGACTATCAGAAAAACTTAAAAGGGTAGGAAATAAATTCAACATTTCAACAACATTCAAAACAACAAACACGTTGAGATCTATTTTGTCCAAAACCAAACCTAACAATGAACAAGAAAGGACAAAGAATTGCATTTATAAAATACCTTGTGAATGCGATCAGTTTTATTTAGGTGAATCATCAAGGCCATTAAATGTTAGAATAAGTGAACATCAATCTTATATTAAAAATAGAGAATTTGATAGATCTCAAATCTGTAAACACGCATGGGATAATGAACATAGGGTTCAATGGAATAATTCAAAGGTAGTCCTAAAAGAAACGGATGGTAAAAAAAGAAAAATCAAAGAAGCGGCTCTAATTATGCTAAATGAGGCCAATTGTGTCGCAAATTCCTCGGCAGAATGTAGTAGGATCTGGTTACCAATATTGAAAGAGGAAGTTATTAATAACAAAATACCAGTCTTAGTAAGTCAGTAACATATAGAGGATATATCATTTATGTTTTTTAAATAACGTAACATATAAAATCCCAATTTTGATGTTTGTTGAAGGTAAACTAAATTCACGAACAAATACTTACAATGTCGGGATAGTATTATGAGGTTTTTTTCATGGTTTTTTCCTCATAATTTACTATGGAATCACTAACAGGAGAATTTTACTGTCATCATGTCATGTGTTTGTCTTTTTAAAGACGAATTACATGCTATGATTTTTTTCTGACGGATATTCTCAAGTAAGTTGATTTCATGTAATCAAATGAACTGTCTTATAAGTAAAGTCGTCCCAGGAGCGCAACTCAACAATATTGGCAATATCATTTTAAAGTCGTCTACTTTAAAATGCATAATGTATGTCTGAATTGTCAATATAAATGAGTCAGATAAAATTAAATTATTAGAAGAATTTTTCACTGTGTAACAAAAAACAAAATTTGTTTAATTTACTGTTTGTATTTTGAGAACG